ACTTATGGTATTGAAAATAGCCGATTCAATTTGGCAACAACCTTTTTGGTGTTGATGTTGCAGTTTGTCTTACTTCTTGGCATCTGGGGTGATTTGTGAATTGTCACCCATGACATCTAGCACTTTTACATCTGTTAGTGGTTTTCATTTCAGTTGTATTGTGCTACAATTATGTGTCAAGGTTTAAATAAAAGTACGACATGTTTTAAAGTATCAAAACAGTATGAATGTGAGTAGGTCCATCTGGAAGTGCTCCAATAAACTGAGCAATTGGTCGATTGGAATGGACAGGGCTGAAAAACGATTACATGGAAACTGTTATAGCGTGTCTTTCTTTTGCGAAGTCAAGAAAACTAGTAAATAGAGATTCTTGAATATCACATTCTTGATTCTTATTGATATCTTGCTACTGTATAAGTTTGCCTATTAATAAAGTGAGAACGCTCACTGTGTATATGTAATTTTTAAGTAGCCCAAGATTTATTGCTCCTGGAAAGCAGTTCACTTTGCTCTGACATCACACACTGGATACTGTCCTTCTATGAATTTTTCACATTTCACAAAAAGCACTGCCTTCGAATTGTAATGTAGTCCAAGAGTTTGAAACCCCCCCCCCCACATTTTATTATTGTGCTTGTGTCTTTTGGACAGAAGTAGTCAGCCAGTGAATTTCACGTGGTGTTTGGTTTGATTTTGAGGATATTCTGTTAAATTAAAGTGAGCAAAATCAAGAGATATTTTGAGTATGTGGACCAAACTCTTTGTGATGCTAATGCAGTGGTAAATCCGTAGAAGTAGCGCATTTTTTCCCGTTACATTTTTGAACACACATTTATCAGCAGGAAAGCACTATGCATAAAATAGGCCTGAGATATACATGATGCAAAGTTTTCCATGCCCTAACCCAGTTTAGTCTAGTTTTGATGATCAGTGAGTGGTTGAAGTCATTGTCATTTTCCAGAAACTGCCCATCATATTGGGGGTCTCTGATTATTCCCACATTAATTACTCCAGTGTTGCAGATTTTCTGCCGGTGTCCTCCCATCAGAATGATTGGCTTACGTGTGTTGCAGCCATTACATGAAGCAACCCAGAGACCCCTGTCTGGCAGATGGCCAAACCAACTCAGGTCTACACCACAGCCAGCTTGTCAAGCACCCCTATAAAAGTCTGTTCGTTCTGCTTACAAAGTTAATCCGTGGACGTTTGCAGGTGCAACTTCTTTCTTTCTCTCTCTCTCTGGAGGAAGGGGTGAACCAATACCGCTTGTGTATATGGGTTAATGGCGCGCACCGTGACATGTGGTTGATGCAGCAAATGTGACATTCAATTTGTGTGGTTTTTTTGAAACATGGTTAGTGTTGACGAAGAAAAGAAAAAAACATCTTAAAGCTATAATTTTTGTTTTTCAAATGGCTCTGTTATTTTGTTACCGCTGACTCAAGTCAATTAGCTGAGGTCTTGAAAATGTGCCTCAGGTTCCTGGGCAGGTTTTGAGCACCATGAAGATGCTTTCGAGAACCCAGGAGCTCCCTTGAGCGGCCAATCAAACGCCTTTTGACAGCTTTTGCCCGTGAAATAAATAGACCGTAAGAAATATATATCTCACATTGGATGTGGCTCACCTTTTTGCAAGTTCCCATATTTACACCAATGTTGTTGGGGAGCAATTCGAAACGTTGAGGTTGGGTTGGGTCTTTTTCATGGTGGAATGAAAGTCGTTTACAGACTTAATCTGTGCCTACCCTTTGGTTCATTCTATTTAAACGTTCATTGTGTTTCCCCGACAATGCTAGAAATGTAAGCATGGCACTCTGCACGATTACCTTGTCAACAGAAATGCTTACATTAGCACAAACAATGCCTTCTTTTGAACATGTAAAAAAAACATTTGCACTGCATTATAGATGCAACGGTGAGGTTCACAATGCATCTAAATGTAAGGTTTTTTTGCGTTTCAAAATAATAGTTAATTGTGTTTATTCGTCTGGGATAGTCGTTAAATTTCTATAATCTTAATTGCTTGACATGCATATGTTGCTGTTGGGTATATAAATAAAAATTTCAAAGCTCTCTGATTATTCTTGAAGAAAGTAGGAAAATCTGGCAATCCACATCTCGCAGACTTTGGTGAGAAAAACCCTCTCGACTGTATTAGTTTTCTCAGTTAGCTCAAGTGTTCGTTAATCCTCAGGCATATGCTCAATGTTCAAATTAAATTTCTAAGTAGCACATAACTTTCAAATGCAATGTCCAGTACTTGTGATAATCGGCCTAATGGCAGAGTTGTCACTCGGAGAAAAAAATAATTGCTTGGGAGGATTATCTTGCATGACAGATGGTTTTGATTTTCCAACGATTGTTTCTTTTTTTATTCTCTCATGGAAATTGAGATAGCCACATGAGATTTTTTTTCAGAGCTATAAAAACAATGTTTTACAACACTGTTATCGTAATACTTAAATTGTATGGAATTTGATGGCTGGGATATTATGTAGTATAATGTGTATCATTTCAGGAAAGTTTGTTGGTAAGAATGTATACAACTGGTTTAAACCTACGTTTCACAAGAGAGTTACCCGTGTCTTAAATTAAAAAGTAAATCTGATTCTTGCTCAAATGAGCATTGACGTGCATGCTGCTCCCATTTGCAGCCCTGAACGAGTGGTGGACATTCCACGTTCATATGGCGGTAGCACATCTATCCATCGGACAACCACAAAGTGGTACTACTAATTTTATCAAACCCAGAGAGATGATGGGCTGACTCGTCACAGGATTTGAGTTGACCAAGATTTGAACTCGCACATGATGAGTTGAGGTCATCTAATGTTGTGTCTACCCGTGTTAGTCCTCTGTTGTCATTTCATGAACGTAATACCTCATTTTTCTGCATGGAAATGTAGATCTAATTGGGAACATCGTTATTTAAAAATAAATTCCTTTGTTATTGCACCAGGACAATATTTTGTGACTTATAGCTCTTATTAAGATGTAATACGGGTACTCATCCCCGGGAGGGTTTCTGCAACTCAGCAGTACTGGATCATTTTTACATCCGTCTCCTTATATAGTTTTCATACCATCTAAATAAGCCACTCATTTTTACATTTATTTTTTAGAACTCCTCCTGAACCACTCCACCAATTTCAAATAAATGAGGCGTCATTTCAAAGCTTATGACATAATCTATGCGAATGAAATTTAAATATGAAGGAAAAAAATTACCCTTGCCTCAATAATTTTGCTTATTCTGCCCATCCTTTTGACTGCTTATGCGCTCTTTCATTTACAAAAGTGATGCATAATGAATGCCCCCTTTCACGATCATATAATGGCTAGGTGTGTCCTGTTAGAGAGGGGAATGTGTGGTGGTTGAAAGAGCCATTGAATCTCAGTTTGCATCCCACGAGTAATGAATAACCCACAGTGCTCAGCACTTCCGAATTTTGTTACTATTGGCCTTGCCTTGCCAATCCTAATAGAGCATGTTTTAACATGTGTAATTTCTATGCACAGTATTTAGCTCTCTGACATTCTTGGGGCGATGCAGTGGCGAGTGGTTAACTCCGTCGCCTGGTATGCTGGTCGTGGGTTTAATCCCGACCCTGACGCCTGCTGTATATTTGGAGTTTGCATGTCTCTCTCATCCTGTGGTCGCGTGGATTTTTATCCGGGTCCGCCGGTTTTTCCCGTCCACATTTAGAATCAATATGTGTTCAGAGTATTTGGCTGCTGTACCTTTCCACGTGACAAATCACTTCGTTGGGCTATCACGTGTGGCCAGGTCGCTTCTGAAAAAGAGCTACATCGCTCAGTGGGCCTCACCTGGTAGAATAAATAATAAGAAAAAAAATAGTAAATAGTTGTGTGTTTCGTACGGAAGATCCAAACAGTATTACATTGGATTTTCTGGAATGGTGGCGTGATTGAAGCACACAATTAACGAGGGATGGGGGGGGGCAACACGATTTGGAAACACTTTGAAATGGAAGACTATATCAAGGAATTTGTCATCTTCAAAAGGTCTCAAGGGTCAGTGACCATGTATTGAAGTACAAGCTTAGCGAAATTGGAAAGTGGCAATCGTAAAGCTAATTCATGAGCAAAGGCGATGTGCAATGGGGCTCTCTCTGAAAGTTTCTTCACAAGATCACAGCCAGTTTGCTTTAATTTTTTTCACAAATTACGAGATTAGGGTTATAAACTTTGGTTTGAGGATGCAATTTCCATGGATCTGTCTTAGTTGCACTTTCAAAATACCCTTTTGCATGTTTTATGTTCAAACTATTATATTTTAATAAATGATAAAGTAACAACTGCAGCTGTTATCCATTTTATATTATAATTGCATATTTACACACTTATCAGAGAGAAGATTATTTTTAAAATTATTCAACGTCGTGTTGTGCGTGTGCACGTTACGTTGATTGCCAGTGTTATAAATCCCATGTAATTCCTTGGCACACAGCATATGGGACATTCCAAATTTCCCTCAAGTATCACCTCGACAAAATATATGTCCATAAGAAGAGTCTTCAGAGAACACCTCGCAGGTGCAATACAATGTACAGGTTGATATATTATATCACTTTATTGGGCACAACACTGCAAAACACTTTTACTTTTATTGATTATAAATGGGCCAATTATATAACACCGATAACGTAATATTCATGCTTATTTAATATAATATACAATTATAATACATTTCTGTATATTATACGTTCATCAATGTATATAATACCATAAAAATGTATGTAGATTTTCCTCCCATTGCAACCTCCTTGCGTTGTGTCGGTCACGGCGGTTGTTTGACCATACTTCGCCGTGTTGGTCAGCACAGCTTAGTGAAGGCGGGGGGGGGGGGTGCAAAGTCTTGCCTAAAACAAAAGTACCTTACTCATTGGGAACACTGCGCACGACGCGTCAACGCGCGTCCAAAAACTTCACCAAGCATAACTCTGCCATCCCTTTTTTTCTTTTGCGATGTGCCCCAGGTGGAGGTAGAAGTGGAGACGATGGACAAGGCCGGAAACTTCATCGGCTGGCTTCAGGTGGAAGGAGTCAACTTGTCAGTGGCGCTGGTTGAGCACGCACTCTCTCGGGTGCACTTCACAGCCGAGCGCAGCTCCTATTTCAAAAATCTCACGGTCGCCGAGGAGGCTGCTAAGAAGGCAAAGGAGAAGGTAAATGCGCCCTCTCCACTTTTTTTTGTTGGATTTACTTAGCGTCCTTCAGACCGGATGAATGCTGAGACAAGAAGGACAAATATTCTTAGGTTTTTTCGGTAAAGTCACGTAGGTAAAACATTAAAATTAATAAAAGTAAAATAAAATAAAAATCACGACGTTTCGGAGGCAACACAAGCTTCCGTCTTCAGGTGGAACCGTCACAGCCACGACAGCTGTATCAAGTAAATGAGAGATTGCAGGAGCTACCACTCCGTTTATATAATGATTGGAGAAGGGGGGGGGGAGTAAGAGCCAAATACAGCACACTTTTTATTAATATGGTAAGGTGAGGCTTAAGAGGGTGAGCCTTTGTAAGACGGAAGCTTGTGTTGCCTCCGAAAGGTCGTGATTTTTATTTTATTTTACTTTTATTAATTTTAATGTTTTACCTACGTGACTTTACTGAAAAAACCTAAGAATATGAATCCTTGCAGTCACGAAAGCTTCAAATCTAAAAGGACAAAATTGTTGTCCCCTTGACAGTTTCCGAGACTTTTTTTTTTAGATGCAGGCGATAAATGCCACCTTGTTGGCAGCTCACCAAGACATCTCGACGTAATGGTAGATTAAACAACACTCGTGGCTGTTAGCCCCATGGTATTTAAATATAATCTACGCGTTAGTTTTTTTAGCTGCATTTGGATAACCATTAGAGGAGTTGGTAAGGGGGTGGAAAAAAAAGCGCATGGGCAAAAAAATACATCTGTTTGAGTTCTGAATTCACCAAACTGTAAATCAGGCAAACTGAAAATTGGGTTCATTTGCATTTTTGTTTTCATTTAACTTTTGCCAGTCATTTGTTTTGGCTCATTAAAAGTTGCACCTTGTTGAGTCCATTTGGGCTAATAGCCACACGCGTGCTCAACTCTTCTCAGAAAATGGATCGCTTTAAGCATGTTGCCAGTTTGGTGTTGAGCACGTACTTAAAAAAAAATGAAATCAGTTGATATCTAAATATAAAACATTTCTGGGTGGCTGTATGCACATTTAGGTCCATGTGGTATTCTGCGTGGAGGGGCCTGCGGATAGTAAATGGAAAAAGTGTTGATCATTTAACATAACAGGACATAGAACCTTGCATTTAACCACTGCTGTTCTCATATCACATACTGTGGGACCTGTATTCCACTCAAAATGACATGAAACAATATGATGTTATGTAATTTTTCGTTTTGAGATGTATAAAATACCTATCTGGCCACATGATTAAGTTGGCATCAAGAGAAAAAAAACAAGACCAAGAACGGAGCTTGGTAACAGGGGCGATATCTTGGGGAGGGTGAAACGATGCTGTGACGAGAGACATTCAGCATACGTTTTCTATTCTAAGATGACTCTTATATAACAGATGCCACACTGGAATACAATTATAAAAGCAGGCGCAACAGCTAGACGTTCGTGAGAGGATTTTTAAATGTAGCTGTTTTTAGTATATGGCTGTCCTAGCTTTAAATAAAGCATGTGTAAGTAAAAAAAACGACCGCTTTCGATGGCAAGAGCAGTAAATTTGTTTGCAGGAGGCACATGCATTACAGCGTCGGTTATTTAATGCTACTGTTAAGAGGTTGCTCTTGCACTGACATATATACAACAGCACTAGAAAAAAAAGACGAGATGGAATTTGATGCCAATTTTAGGTTGAGGAAGCACATTACCGACATTACAATTCACCATTTTTTTTCGAGTTGCCAGAAACTTTACTGCACATATACAGACAGGATTGTTATAGACATGGGCATTTTCACATCTTTCTGTGCTCATGATACAGTAGTACAAAATATAACTCACAATATAGCTTGATGTGAACCATCAGCTGAGAATTTGTTTTTTATATTATATACAGTGCAATTGCATGCAATTTTTTCTCAGTCATTTAACATGTCTGAATATGTTCAGTATGTTATACTGTACCAAGCATAATTGTGCCATGTTATGTATAAACATGTGTTTTGTTTTATCCTGTTTAAGCAAATCCATTTACATAGGTTGCAAAATATATATTGATGGATTTACTTTTGAACATTTTTGTTTTATATTTTTGCTGTTCTGCTTTGTACAGTTAATGTCTCTTGCAGGGGATGCTATATTTTGGGCATTCCAAACCCAGATTTTAATTTGGGGGGGGAGGGAGGTGGGGGGGAAGATTTGACACGTGCGTTATTTTGAAAGAAAATGTTTTGTACTTTGAGGAAAACGTGTATAAACATGTTCATGCAACTTTTACCGTTTTCACCACTCTAAAATCCCATGTTGATAGGAATATTTCTACCTTAGGTTGCTTCTGCTTATAGACCTCACCATGATGTGTACCGTACCTTCTGAGAAATTGGTAACTATTATCCCTGGGTGGGTGATGTGGCCTCGTAGGCAGCGTGCTCCCCTCTTGCAGTAGAGGTCCGCGGTTGGAACCCATTTGCTGCCCGCCCCGATTGTTACAGCAGGTGTATTAACCATAATAGTACACGCTTGTCTGCTTTACAGTGGACGTTAAAGGCGCCATTCGCAAGAGTAAGCCGTCGTATGCTGACATCAGGGCCCAAATTTTTTTCCTATTTTAAAATTACCTGCAAATTGCTCTGTTTGGATCATGCCTAAAAATCATTGCCTGGTACTGACAGCCTAATGCCCAGGGTCACTATTGCAAATGAGACTATCCTGGTCTCTTTGGGTTCTCTCACCTGGTTATATAAAATCAACTTGAACTCATGAGTTAGACTGATTGGGAGCCTGGTGTCAGCTTCCTTATACATTTGATGAGTAGCTGCTACAATTTAGAGCATATTTTGCACGAAGACTTAAAATATCCCATTTGAATTGGAAAATGTTTTGAGCTTCTGAGCGTTCCTTATTATGAGACAGAAGTACAATTTAATTGGGAAAGAAATTTACCCTGGACTACTAATTTAGTGGCATTCTGTTGAAGTTTTTCATTTCGCTTTTTTCGTACAATTATGGCAAAAAAAAAATAATTAGCTCTTGGAATTGTGTGTGAAGCTAATTTGGCACATCTCGCCTTCACAATTACCGTACACATAATGCCACCTGCCTTAGACGCAAGATGTTTCCCGTCTTGTACTTGGCAGCTGCAGATGAGACCGCGGTGTAACAAACCCATGTATAGCAAATGTGTAGGGGAACCCGCACCTGCTGTGGCAACCACGGGGCTATCGTGTGTGGGCCGTTGTATGGATCGGGCTTGTTGGAAAGAGAGGTGTCTCATTTCGTTTTGCATCCTCGGTGGAAAACGCACCTCGGTATTTGTAGCACATGCCGCCAAATCGCCAGCTTACGCGATGGGGACACTTCAAAAGCGGCTGGCGAGTTTTTTTTTTTATCCTCTAGGCGTTTGCATGCATTGAGATAATGAGTCACCGGAAGCTTTCATATTGATTCATTGTGGGTAAGAAAACGGGAGGGGATGTATGAAAAAAATATCTATAGTTAAAGTATACAACATTCACGCAAGCTATTCTACAGCCACTTTATATAATTTCATGTTATTCTGTGCTGGACACTAATGTAATATTGTTGTCGTGAGCCACACATCTTCTTTAATATACGTGAGCGAAATTGCTAGCATAATTGGAGAATTCATGCACAGGGGTAAGTCTGGTAAATGTAAACATGGAAATCAATTCTTTGTTTTTTTCGGTAAAGTCACGTATAAAGATAAAATAATAAATTAAATAATAGCATACTACGACGTTTCGATTGCAACACAAGCAATCATCATCAGGTATAAAAGAAATAGCAACAAAAATCTAACCAGAAAACTATAGACAGACATATAAGCAGACAGATATCACACAGATACACAGAGAGAGAACACGTATCGGCCCAAAGAGAGAGATCGTCTCTATAACAAGGCCTTAAATAGAGAGGGGGCGGGGGCGGAGAGAGGGAGGGGGCAGAGAAAAAATTAGCATGTCAATAAGTAGAACGGGGGAGATCCACAATAAAATTAAATAACCTTGCAAATTATCGAAATGTAATGTAATGCAACACAGAGAGTCGGTCAACACACAATTAACGCATTGCCTGGTTGATTACGTATTTCAAAGATTGCTAAGTTAGAATTTAAGTGTGAAAATTCCAAAGAGAGGACACAGGCAGAGAGAGAAAACAAAAAACCCAGAGAGAGAGAAAAGATAAGCTTAAAACTTCCCCGTAGAAGTGGTTCAATCTTAATTTGGAGCTTTCCTGCAGTCACGATGTGTGACGAGGGGGGGGTTTGAGAAATGTGACGTCACATCAAAATGCGCAACTTTAAATAAATATAGACAACACGTTCTACTTAATTAAATAGACTTTTTAATAAATGTTTTCTCCTACAACATCAGAGTGCAGCGCCACATTAAATACGCACTACAATGACAATAGTTGAAAACGATTTGAAGCATGTTTAATTTTTTTTTGGGGGGGGCAGAGCTTTGTGACGTCATATTTGAGGGGGGGGTCTGACTTTTTGTGACGCCGTGTGACAAAAGGGGGGGGGGGGGGTCAAAAATAGTCCAAAATCACGTGACGTCATTTATGGACGGTCCCATGCATTATCATCTGTATGCACGTACGTGTAAATCCCAGACATCACACCACACTGACAATCAAATGGTTTTAGTGTCATACTATGTTATTATAAAAAAAGTTTTGCTGGCTGGCATGCAGGCAGGCATCCCACAGCGTTTAGCCGGGAGCCTCCCCCCCCCCCCCCCCCCCACCACTATATAAAACATAATAAAATATGTTTTATATATATAAAATAAAATATGTTTTATTTTTATTATTTTAATACTTCCCTTCTACGTGACTTTACCGAAAGAACCAAGAAGATGAATCTGCACGTAGTAAAAAAAAAAACATACATATTTTGAAATTGTTCAAATGTGTTGTCGAAATACTCGCCGTGAGCCCTTGTTAGTGTGATCCACTGACAATCTTTTCACTGAACAGATCTGGGCCGACTATACGGAACAGCCAGAGGAAGGGACAACCGTGCCGCTCGTAGAAGAGACGGAGCGTAAAACCGTCTACAAGCAAGTGGTCATCACAGAGATCAACGATGACTTGCACTTCTTTGCCCAGGATGTGGAAACTGGTAAGCACGCGTGGTCTCCCTTCACACACATTCAGTGCGTCCGCCACTCCACGGGGGAGCCTCCTTGAGACAAATAAGCTTGGATATTTTTCAGAATCAGAATATTTATTTATATTGGAGGAATCAGATGAGCCATGAACCTCTTTTTTAGAGATGCATCAACTGAAAAACGCAGAACTTTGTGGCAATTCAACTCTAAATAATTAAGTAACTTATGAAGTCCATTTTTAACTATTTAATTGAAAGTGTTCAGCACATATGTATATATAAAATTCACTTTCATGGGTATTTTAACGTATGACATTTCATTTAGTTAATGTTATTATAACAAGTTCCATTTATTGTACATATATATAAAATTTCATCTATTTTATAAATATGTATTGAGATAAATGTGGAAGGAAAAACGTATTGAAGTAATTCTGGGTTTAATCAGAAAATGTTCATTTTTAATTAATAAAACATTCATTTAAGAAAAAAATATTTTAATAGCAACCATTTAAAATGTATTTTACAAAGGTACCATGACATTGAAAATATAACGTTTGACATTGACAATAGGATTGCTTAATTGTCACTTTATCATGTTTATTTTTTAATGAATTAAACCGTTTGCACGCAAGTATTTGTTAACGTTATTTTGTGGCGATGTGTGTCGTTGATATTATTTTATGGTATGTTATCTCAAAAAAATTCACTGCGAGGGGGTGAAATCTGATTTGCTGCTAAACTGACAACTCAGCCTAATAATTGTGCTCATAAATAACAATCAACTTTGTGATGATGAGCAATTATGTATCTTGATTAACTTTGGGAATACCTTGACCTGTAACTGAACATCATTACGACTAAAATCTGATATAAATATAAATGTGTAGCTATGTTTTTCAGTTTTGTTATTTTAGCATCTTTAGTAGGATGATGCATTGAATACCAGATGTGAGTTTCCACACGGTGCAAAATGTGGCTTCAAAGAGTACTAGGAATATCACGTGAATTGAAACTGAAGTACTGTAGACATTAGCCGATGGGTTTCCAGGTGAACCGACAGTCGACTCACAATGCGGCACCGAGATTTTTGACGAGGGTATCTTGAACAGCAAGCCAACTCTATGGGAACCTCATTTGCCAGTGAAAATATGATAATTGGTTTTTTACCCTTCTATCTGGCAACAAAACTGACACCTTTTTACAAGGAGTCATGTTTGCATAGACCGCAATACCTGCAGTCATAATACAAACAAAAGACATAACATGCACATTATCAGAGTTATGTCTTTTGTTTGTATTATGACTGCAGGTATTGCGGTCTATGCAAACATGGCTCCTTGTAAAAAGGTGTCAGGTTTGTTGCCAGATAGAAGGGTAAAAAAACAATTATCATATTTTTACTGGCAAATGAGGTTCCCATAGTGTAGATGCTTGCCCCGAGCTCTCATACTCTGATGGTGCATTGTCTTTGAGTTGTGCGCCTTTTGGCGTCATCTGGTCCAACCCATGTGAGACTAGGCTCTAAGGAAAGCTGTCTCGGGTGTGGACCAATCAACTTCAAGGCCAGTGCACATTATCAGAGTTATGTCTTTTGTTTGTATTATGACTGCAGGTATTGCGGTCTATGCAAACATGACTCCTTGTAAAAAGGTGTCAGGTTTGTTGCCAGATAGAAGGGTAAAAAAACAATTATCATATTTTTACTGGCAAATGAGGTTCCCATAGTGTAGATGCTTGCCCCGAGTTCTCATACTCTGATGGTGCATTGTCTTTGAGTTGTGCGCCTTTTGGCGTTATCTGGTCCAACCCATGCGAGACTAGGCTCTAAGGAAAGCTGTCTCGGGTGTGGACCAATCAACTTCAAGGCCAGTGCACATTATCAGAGTTATGTCTTTTGTTTGTATTATGACTGCAGGTATTGCGGTCTATGCAAACATGACTCCTTGTAAAAAGGTGTCAGGTTTGTTGCGAGATAGAAGGGTAAAAAAACAATTATCATATTTTTACTGGCAAATGAGGTTCCCATAGTGTAGATGCTTGCCCCGAGTTCTCATACTCTGATGGTGCATTGTCTTTGAGTTGTGCGCCTTTTGGCGTCATCTGGTCCAACCCATGTGAGACTAGGCTCTAAGGAAAGCTGTCTCGGGTGTGGACCAATCAACTTCAAGGACAGTGCACATTATCAGAGTTATGTCTTTTGTATGTATTATGACTGCAGGTATTGCGGTCTATGCAAACATGACTCCTTGTAAAAAGGTGTCAGTTTTGTTGCCAGATAGAAGGGTAAAAAACCAATTAGCAAGCTCACCATTAACCATTTGGGGCCGCACCTCCAAATAGCACAGTTGACTACGTGCAGTGTGAAAGAAGTTCTACATGCATACGTACAGAACAGGCTGCTTATTTCTATCGCAAAATACATGAATCTAATTATTGTAACGCTTTACCATTTTCTGTTTTAAACACAATTTTCTTGGCGAAGCTGGAAAAAATTTGGCTTTACAGGAGCACTATGTAGCCTGAATCCTTAAATAGCTTTCACCTGTCGAATTTTGTTTTGCATTACATGAATATCTTTGATGCATCTTCTTAATTAGATGTGTTTGGCACGTAAAACAAGGGAAATACATGTGGAATTAATTGTGATTTGTTCATCTTGGAGCAAAAGTATATTATTATTGTCCTGTCATACAGATACAGTGAACTATGGATCATTCGGGGTAATTGGGGGGAGGTAGGGGGAGCAGGGGAGTGGCATGCATAAAACAAAAACACAGATAATACAATCACATGTAAATTACCACACAAAAAAACATTGCTTACCTCCGTAGAAAGTGTAGTGAAGATCTAAAACATTTTTTTAAGGTAATCGGTTTACTGGCGATCATGTTTATGGTCACTTGCGCACAGTTGCCAACCCTTGAAGAATAAGGGCCAGCTCGTAATTAAACCTGCTTTCAAAGAGACGTATATTCTCATGCAAGCTTGGTTAATGCACGACCTGGATTATACACCCTTGGATAATCAAAAGTTAACTGTGTTTAAATTAAGAAAATAGAAACCTTTCCTAGATGTGATCGTTAATTCAAAGCTTTATTTTGATTCCAATTAACTCTCATGTGGCACATGTCACACACACGGGCTTCAACATTCTGTACCAAAATATAATTTTCGCATAGTAAAATCTCCCCTTTTTCTCTGCCCACTATTTTCTGGGTTGGGCCAATGTGCAATTCCTCCCATTATTCACAAATTAGCACTCGTTGCAGACAGACGCTAAATTAATCCTATTCAGTGTCTGTGGATAATTGCACAGCAGCAGGAAACTACGAATTTTCATTTGCAGTGGATGTCTTGATTTTCTTCAGCATTGGATGCAAAACTGTAGATATACATTCACTCACCTTCAGGAACTGTATTCACGCTCGGCCACTGCATACCACATTTTGTTGATTTGTACTACTTTGTGGTTGAAATATACGTGTAGGTTACACGTTAATGGCCGTATGTGATTCTGGTCATTGACAACTGTAATAAAATGTATTTTATTGAGCCATTAATCAGAAAGCTAAATTGCCACATTATCATCCATTTACATTGGTATATTTTCCAATTTGCTTTTTATTACACTTATTAGCAGATGACAATTGCCAAAAGGAGCTGTGAATTAGTTGATTATTCACAAAGTCTCAGTTTGTTTTCCTTTTTCAGAGTCAGCTAAGTGCCCACTCTGCAGCATGTGTACACATACATGAATTTGCGGTGGCGTTTTGATGCCTTTACGTTGTCGCAAATGATACCACACAATGGATATACAATCTAGTGGTGCACTTGAAAGCGGATTTTAATTTAAGTGTACTTACCATTGATATAACTGTGCTTCCGTTAGACTTTAGAATTTTCTTACCTAGCAGCTTGATAAGAGAATATTATTTTCATGGAATATCTCCATTTCACGGAAAGAGAAAAAAATAATCGCGTCATATTTAATAATTGGAGCCAAGAAAATATCCGCAGCTCATATATTTTTAATAAACTGAGATAGGTTGCATATTTTTAAAGTATTTATTACAATGAACGCTGTCATCGAAACACTGCTGAGTATACGTAATGATTATGGTGCCATATATTCGTGCAAATGAATGGTAGCTTGATCGGTTATAATAAAAAAAGGGGAACTCGGATGTCATCCAAAATTTATATTCTAGTGACGAAGCCATACAGATGAGTCTTACACAAGTAACGTTCTTAGAATATGAATTGTAATATTGTGTAGCAGTATGTTGATGTTAAAATCAGTCACTGAAATATCTTAAGCCACCAATGTATTTGTATTATTTCATTTTATACCTACGTGACTTTACCGAAAGAACCAAATGGTATTTGTAAATGGTAAAACATTTACACAAATCATATCTTTGTAATTGGGACAATATTTCTGGGTGGTGGCAGGTTAATGACAAGACATTTGACATGAAATTACTACGTGGCCTTTCACAAGAACATATACGGATCATTTTACTGGCTACGTAAAAAACCCACGTTTAAAGTGTACCATTGCCGATGCTAAGAAAGGCTGCGGAAAGCTTAAATCTGCGATGTGATCTGCCTGCATCCGACGTGCCAGGCGCACAGTTGGAGAAGCTGATGGAGAGCATGCGGTCCGAGCTTGCAGCCAACCCGCCCCTGGAAGGGTCCTTTACACCTCACCGTGGAGACTACTGCATTTCTAACTTTTCCGACGGAGAATGGTAAACTGATCACCTTTCCCTCATGTACACAATCTGCGCCAGAAAGACTGAAAGCAAGTCACGCGGCATTAAACATTAATGTGGGAGCATCTGCCCTCATTTGGCCCCTATAAAGCAAACCAAACTGTTGGCTTGTCTTGGAAAAAAAAAGCATTTACAATAGGGCGGTGAAGTATTTGAAATTATGTGCACGTACTTATCCCTTGAGTTCACGTGCCTGTATTAACCCTTACTGGTATATACATATACGATCTTCCCAATTTCATTATCTTTTTTTTTCAAGTATTTTCATTATCCTAAAACGATTTGACTCTCCAGGCCTTCAATATACGAAGTTTGTTTTTGCTGCGGTTGCTGTTTACAAACCACTAATGCAGTCATATGTTACTAGTTCAATTCTCATTTGAGTTGAGAAATGCTACCATTTATGTTTACATTCCACTTACAATGTATTAAAATTCAAGCGGTGGGGAAAGCAGTTGTAAACACATTTCAGATGTTTCCTCCCTAATGCAATTACAGTATTGATACGCCTAGAAGCATTTGAGCCTGCACATCCGGTGCTATTTAAACATAACATATGAGTATAATGGCTAAATGTGTCACTTTCCAGTTTGATTCAATGTCACGGTGCAGAAAGGCGAAACAACACACATTCCTTTGAACAAGTCTGCCATTGGCAATGTTAGCTTTTTTGCTGTCTGCAATATATGGGAAGGTTTACCGTTTTCGGCTGCCAGGTTCTTGCCTATATATCTGTCCAATTATGTGTGTGTCTCCCAGCATGGCAAATCAGATCGGCTGTGTGTTTGTTTTGACAGGTATCGGGCACGCATTGAGAAAGTGGAGGGCTTGTCCAAGGTGTCCGTTTTCTACATTGACTACGGCAATGTAAGTCCAAAGCTGTCATGGCCACATCAATCTCAAAGTACCAGCGGCGCGCACGCACGCACATGCACACGATGTTTGTCAGATTGAAAAGCAGTGCACATAAGCATTGGTATCTTTTCAGCAAATGTTACTTTTTTTTAAAGGAAAGATGTAACCTAATGCGGTTAAATTAAATAATTCATATTTTTGCTTTTGCAGCTTCATTTTTCAACGATGTTTCAATTCACGATTCTTGACAACATGTCTGCCATCTGCAACTGTACTTTTTTGCATTCATCTTTCAAATATACATGTTTAGTTCTCATGTTTAAAAGTAATCTACACAATGTAAAGCAGGGCTGCAGCTTTATTTATATGTATTACATAATGCCGAAGCATTAATGTATTTATTTCCCCATTTGCTCAAGCACATTTTGGGGGCTAGATGACGCTGAGAAATGTTGGGCACAATCGTAGGCAAAGAGAAAGCGTTACAAGCTGCGGTTATTGTTAAACAAGCCGGTCATCGTTCACCATTGCAGAGGGAGACGGTGGCCAACGCGAAACTCGCAGCCCTTCCGACGGGCTACAGCGTACATTCCTTCCCAGCACAGGCCAAAGAGTACGCCTTCGCCCTGATCCAGGTTGCGGACGACGTGAGTTCTCAAGCACTCATGGCCACAAAACACACCACTTTTGTTCTTGTGAAGTGCGTATTTGTACGGTTTTTGTTGTTGCTGAATATTAAAATATTTCCATTCCATCCATGAAAATGGAAATGTGTAAGTACATGAGTGAATCAATATTTATGCTTTCAGATATTTATATTTTCAGTTTTTTCTGCAATAGAAATGTACAATTGTTATGTTTCATTTATTTTTCTAGGAGCTTTCCTACATGGATGATTTAAAAGAAAGAGTGACTTGTCTCTATTCTGAGAGTAACTTTTAAAGAAACCATATTCTCGAAAGGACACTGTACGATTTAAGCAACAACAAAAAATGCAATGGGTATATGGATGCAAACGTCTTGTCATTGCACGTTTTTATACATTGTGCACATTCGATTTGTACCGGTGCTTGAGCAGTTAAGATTTATCGTGGTCGTGAATGACGGGAAAAAGTTTGGCGACGCATTCCGATTCTCCCGTGTAGGCAATTAGGGTGTACATTGTACCGTTCCCAAGCCTAACAAGCTCTCGTGCTTTAATGCAGCTGTGGCAACAGGTGATTGAATACATGATCAAATGGGTAGGCTCTACTGCATGTTTTATTTACAGCGCACAAAGGTTTCCTCGCCGTTTCCGACTGTGTTACAAATGAAGTGTCTGCTGCAAAAAAGAGGGTTTTAATGTTAAACGCTGAAAACAATTCTTGCCGAATATTAGTCGGGGCTCTGGGAGAACGGGTACTTTTTTATGCGAGATGCCTCTAAATGTGCTTTTCAGCTGGAAGAATGAAAGATTAAAGGTTGCTGTTATATTCCAGACTTGCTATTTATCTGCATACTCATTGCGTAATAATTATACGAAAGAGATGGTTCGTATATAATTCACAAGGCTAGCCGTTGGACACTGAAAGAGAGTTCAAGCAGAGTGTAGATAAGAAGACATAATATGCTCAAAGTCGTTATTTTAGGCGGTTGAAAATTGTCCTGCCCAAAGGACTTCTACAAATACACAATGTCTGTTCAGAGCTGTGTTTGAGCAGAAACTCAATACACAACCTAATGACTTTTACTATCCAATTTGTATTTGTATAGCATTTACGATGCAGCCATATCTCAAGACAATCTACAGAACATTGTTTAGAATACATTTTTGTTCTCGTGTCAGTTGCAATATACTCTACGCTATCTTTTTTAGTTTAACAGGTTTTTGCATTGAGCAGTTATGTGGATCGGCAGATCACGTGTGATGGCATCATCTTAAGAGTCTGCCCGTCTCCGAAGATGTCTCCCCAGCATGGAAGAGTAGGCCACATTTTTGATGGGGCCTCTCCAGAGCTCCCTCTAGCAGAGGTCCTTCTGCACCTTTACATGTGTAGTGGGTTCTCAGTGAGACGGAGACGACGTAGTGGAGGCACATTTATTTAACCAAAGCGCAGTAACACAATACTTGAAGGGGTATGGCCCCTTCACCCATACTAAATGGGAACACCCCTAGCACTATCCCCTGACTGTTCTAATCCCAGTCCTCCGCTAAGAGTGCTAGGGGAGGCTATCTGATCCGGCCCTGGTCCAGCACGGATCCCGGCACCCAGCTAACCAGACCGGCTCTTACAAGAGCATCGGTCCTGAAGCTCTCAGGGCCACACCACTGGCTTGCCCTGCTCGGTCCTGAGAAGGACAGCGAGTCAGGGGAGTTCCAGGGCCTATCTGCCGGTCTTCAAGTCTTGCTGGTTAAGCTTTACACACTGGACCCCGAGCCCTCCGGCTCCCCGCCTTTTATACGAATCGCCTCCGAGGGGTGGGGCTATGGGGGATCACAGCGCCACCCATAGCCCCCCAGGGTTAACCGTTGCGGACGTGGATGTAGACACCCCTGTGTGTGGGTGTAGACCCCCCTGTGTGTTTGTCCGCTTCCCTTCCCGTAACCACCCCGACACATGTACCTGCATTGGGTATTTTTTTGAACCATCAAAATACACGGTCATGGTTTGTTTTAGTGGTATGTTTTAGTGCCAGGCGTGGTGGTGTGCACTTCCTCACATGCATTTTAGTGAATTTAAGTGAAAAGAGAGCTTTAGGCGGTTGTTGAACAACTTTTGCTCTGCTCGAACAGGAAGTGCTTGTTTATGTTTGCCATTAATACTGACACAAAGCACACCGTTATAATTCGGTACGAGTCATTCATACCATCAAGAAGATTAATCCCTGCAGTCACGAAAGCTTTAAACCTGATAACTGAGTTTGATTCCAAGCCACCGGCTAACATCAGTCGTCGGTGATAACTGAACGAATCCTTGCTCCCTCTAAACCAACCCACACTGACCAGCATGGCGAAGCATGGTCAAACAACCAACATGGCCGACACGGGATGAGGAGGCCCTTAATTCAGAAATTATTAGTTTGACTATTTTAAGTGCAACTTGTGGGATGTTACAATAAATGGGAGAAGCGTATCACCTTCTTGGTTCTTTCGGTAAAGTCGCGTAGAATGGAAACAATGAAAATAATAAAATAAAACATAATAAAATCAAATATTCTTTTATTATGTTATAGTATTATATTATTTTATTATGTTTTATTTTATTATTTCTATTGTTTCCATTCTACGTGACTTTACCGAAAGAACCAAGAAGATGAATCCCTGCAGTCACGAAAGCTTTAAATCGAAATTTAAGCATATCACCGTAATGATAACAATGTGACATCTATATCTAGCAGTATGTTCATGACAGAGGGTTGACGTCCATGTTGATGCTTTCCATATTTTGTGATCTTCAGTCTCTCTTGGAGAGTGCCATCCTAACGGCTTGCATTGTCCCGCCAACTGATCTTTGCTCTTCTCTTCCCTCCATTATCCCTGGCATAATTACCTTCATCATAACTCCAGCCGTGACTTCAGCATTTGTCCAGCATTAGCAATCTTCTCATCAGACTTCTGATTTTTTGCCAGTAGCCATTCTCTTACAGCACGTGCTTTTTATTCTTCTCATCACATCAGCGTACTTGGTCCATTTTTCTATAATGCCGCATCTCAAAAACATTTCGTCTATTGATCGTATCCTTTTCACGGTGTCCATGTTTCACTGGCATATCCCCACTATACTCCACACTAAAGCTTTCGATATCTTCATCCTCGCCTTACTGCGTCGTGTCTGACTTGTTAAGATTCCTGTGACCTTTTCAACAGCGGTCTTGGTTATTTTGATTCTTCTTTTAACCTCTTGTTCACACTTTCCAGACCAATAATTGCTGAAACATAGTCCTTCTAAACGATGTTAATTATCATCCATTTACATGAACATTACCTTTTGTCTCTAGGTGGCTTATTTCTGCAAGCACTGTGTGGATGATTGTTTTAGTATTTTCATCGTAAAAAATAAACAGTTTTACGTAACAACATTTCTGTACCTTCACACCTATGATAGTTTTCAGTAGTTATAAAATAAGGATAGTTTTTTGCCAGTTTCATCTTATTAAAAAAACATCTGCGCAATATATCAGCTTACGTCACGTTGTATATTCTCACGCTGCTACTGCGGGTCTGTACTGTGTAGAAAGAACAGCAGTGTGCTATAACCACGTACAAAGTCATTTTCTCGTCCAAAAAGGTCATTCAACTGAGCCTCAAAATAAAAACTAAATACTTTTGCGTTTCATGGGATTTGTAATCATGGCTGAAATGCATTAATTGGATGTGATACAAACATAGTTGAAAAAAAAGAATGTTTGCAATTGAAAAATGCATACAAACAATAATACGTTTGTGCATCTGCTTTTTAAAGGATGCAACGTGCTCACTGTGACGAAAGTGTTTTACATTTTCCATAAAATTCTTAAGGTACCAAATACGTTATATATAGCTGTAGCATTATGTACAGCAGTCCACATTAAGTTTTGATTGCTGTGTTGGTGGTACAAGCGTGTGCAATGGAACTGATGTTCTTGCTCGAACATCGTACGGGAATTTCTTTTTTAAATTGTCTGGTTCAGCCCGTCGCATCATCAATTTTTAAGATAGCCTCAATATCCCATTCCTTTGAACATGTGTGGCACCCTGGCAGCTAATAGCACTGGTGAAAATGTAACATCATTTTTATTGCTTTGTATGGGGGGGGGGGGGGGGTCAGGTCTTCTGCACCCAGTAATTCATAAACACTACTGTCTTGCAAGCTGATTTGTATTCACAGGCTTGCCCGCGCTTTGCTGCAAAACCTAATAAAACGGCCACTGCTCTCCGTTCAAGACCTTTACTTAATAACTAGTTGTTGGTATGGAGAGTCAAAAAGCAATGCCTTTATTGAATGAACTGTACATTCATCTTTATGCTAATTTTAAAAAATGGTCATTCAATAGGAAATAGACCATTTCGAGCTCGAAACAGAATATTTGACGATGTAGATCTATTCTGCGCTGTAGAATATGCCGTGTGTGTGTGTTTTTAATATTTGGTGTAATGCAAATCTGCTCATTGGGTTGGAGAAATTGTTATTGTGGAAATTTTTAATTTGTATGAACGTTGTAGTTTACTATATTAATAGTCTATTCTATTTCATTTGGATAAAAGGTGTTGACTCTTTATGTTCAAAGCATTCCATTAGCTTTCATATGAAAACTGTTTTTGATTAGCTTGTCTTTCTTGTTATACACACTCAACCATTTTTCTATATTCTTGTGTGGTGGTTTATTTGTTGTATTTTCTTATTTTTTCAAACAGGATTTTTTCCTTTTTAGTTGTGTACTAATACAAAACGACTATTTTGTGCAGTCTAAACCACCACATTAGACATCTTTAAAATAATAATCATTAAAAGATTGTTTTGAGAGGTGAGTTCAAGTACCATTTCCATGTACCACGTTTATTGTGCCACGTTTTAAAAAAAATTGTTAATAGGCGTACAAAAATTAAATGTACAACTGTTTGACCCTTGTTCAACATTTCCATATTGAAGATAAATATTTTTGACTAGTGTTTAAAAAAGAAATAGGTGTATTTCAAACAGTCAGAGCTTAGCAATGTTGATGCACAAACCTTTATCTTTTGGCTACAGATGGTAGAAAAAGGCGCACGATCAATGGTGGAGCGATTGTGTGTTTGCATGCTTTACATAGCTATCTCCTTTTTTATACTCGCTACCCAGTGTTTATTTTAAAAGGTTATGATGCCTCCTCTGGCTTGCTTAAAAGGTCAGCAATGTGATAAATACCCCCCTATGGTAAGTATGTTACAATATTGCAGCAGCCAGTGGCAGTTTCCCCGATGGGACTCCATAACGTGTGCATTGTTTAGTTTCGTGTGCATTGTTTGGTGGCGTGTGCGCGTGTCTGCGGATTGAATGCATGTCAGGAGGATGCCAAGGGGGATACGGTGGACTCGCTGGTTCGTGACGTTCAGAACATCCAGTGTCTCCTCAACGTGGAGTATCGTGGCGCAACCTGCGACCACGTCACACTGCTCTACGCCGACACGCAGGATGACGTGGGTCTGGGCCTGGTCAAGGAGGGCCTTGTCATTGTCGAGCTTCGCAAAGAAAAGCGGCTGGCCAAGCTGGTGAGTCTCATTTTGCATGTGATCGTCCCCTGCTTTTGCATCTGTGTCACACTCCCCCCTTCCCTCTCATTGAAAAAGGCGTTCAGGAAGGTGAACTTGAGTCATTGGCTTCAGACAATTGCTGTGCGGTTCAGGAGGATTGCCAAAACTGCTTTTTTGGAGACTTTGCTCAGCATTTGTGGAAGTCCGTACAGTACCATTTTGTTTGTTTGTTGCTTTTGAGATGTTGACTCAAGAAACGTGTGAAACCGATAGGTTTGTTTGTGTGCTACTGTATCATTTCTATCTTCCTTTTTTCAATGAAGCTGTGAATCAGTTTTTTATCTCAAGAGAAACCTTTAGAATTGTTTAGTAAGAGGCAGTACTGAATTCCAAAATCCAACGAAAAATGTCAAGTGTATGATTACACATTTGACATTTATTGTTGTGGACGATAAAACCCCTGTCTGACTGTGTGTGAGGCATTTGCAGTCTCGAGTTTGAGGATTTTTGTACAAAAATTGGTTTTATTTGAGTGACGCGCGGAGCCACACAGTGTGATTCAGTAATAACGGCAGAACTCTTCGCAATGATTTAGTTAAGTATTGTAAATGCAACTTACATTTTCTCTTACTGTAGAGTGAACATTTATTTTGGCCGATTTTTTTTCAGAATATATCATTTTATTGATCACATTTAAAATTGGTGCGTTAAGGGTATTACAAGTCAATTATATTGAAATACTGACATATAGCAACACAATAATGCTGCTGGCAAAGTGAGTTAATGTCAATACATTATTTATTTTATAATAATCACGTGAGGTTTGATGTTTTCCCAAACCAATGATACGAATTTAGTTTGAGCCATTTGGCTTTATTTTCAGTTTTTTACAAAAATACAAAACAAGCGCACGTGTTGTTGGTTATTATTTATGAAGGTTTTTTTGAACGTTACAAGTTTCGTTAGCAAAGCTGCGGTATTCTTCGTCTCACCTTGCACGCATTAACGCCACGGAACGTGAGACACCAATCTAGACGCTCGTGCGACGACGCTCAACTGCTCGTCGGTTCCGTCATTTGCATTGCGACGCCTTCATTTATCAAAGTACCACACCGACACGTGGAAAACATTCAATCAATTTAAGAGATAACTCATTTAGCCACGATGCCATCTGGCAGTGACATTTAACACGAGCCACTAAAAAGATCACCAATCCTGTTGCTGACTAATCGTATATCCGTGGAGCCCAAAGATGGGGGAGGCTGAGACTGCATGCAGGGACGGCTCTTGTTCAGCTGCGAAGCTGAGTGGGAGTGATGTACAGTCCCTCCGCCAGATTCAATTTCCTCTACCAGCGGGTTGTATGCCCATCTTTCGCGGGCACATGCTGGTTGATGAGCTGTTTGGGTGCACAAACCAACCCTGTAGGACTAGACTTGATTATTGTGTGCATCCACAGAGGGCTCGAAGATACCGACGCTTGTGTTTAAACTTAGCCAAGACTTAATTTTAGACGTCTGATAAAGTGTTGGGAAATGTTTCTTTGTGTGCTACATTTTTAGTTTGTACGTTGGCCAGCCATTTTAGATTCTGGCCTGAGATCCAGCGCGTTATTTTCATTTTCGCATTGCACTTCTCAATTTGTGTAACGCTGAGTAAATCATAAAGTAGTAAAGCAATACTATCATTAAAATGCAGGGTTATCGTTTTCTTTGGTAATCGGAATCTTGGAGGAATCCGATGAGCTATTGAGCTCTTTTTCACAGATGTCAGCACGCTACAACATACAATACAATAAACGATAGGGTGGAAAATAGAGCAAATGTAAGCAAAAGTAGCTAATTAAAATAACAACATAAACATTGTTTTGTTAGATATAAAGTGTATGATATAACCTGCATAAGTACATAAATGCCTGCCGACTTTTCAGCTCAATGAAGGCTTGGGGCAAAGCAGCAAAACAAGCAAAAAACAGTCCCAGACCTCACCAAGACAACACACAGTCCCCCAATAAAATTGCACATTAATCAGTTTCCATTGGAGTCTTAAATTTTGCCTCTACATAAGAATGTATAAAACATACATAAACAGCATCATCATCAACCATGATCATACATAAACATTTCAGGAAATATAAAGAAAGCGAAGCATATTCATGTTAATGGTTAAATTGTGAATGCATTTACCCTCATCCCTTCTTATAAACGTGTTTTTTTACATCTGGTTGGAGTATATAATAGACTATTACGCATTTCCACTAGATTCTAAAAATATCGAGGGGCAATCATGGTGGTAGTGTTTGGAGCTTGCCAGGATGTGTAGGCATGGCCTATGAATAGTCCTTTGACCTGTAAATGGCAAGGAGCCTATTAAGAGCCTTCACCCACCCTCTGGCCTAGATCAGGGGCCTATAGTGTGTTCCCATGGCAGTATACTTTGCAGTATAGTTCAAGCAGGTGCCACTACGCATTATTATAAGTTTCTTATATTGCTGGCAGTTTGAAACGTGACAACCATTCAGCCTTACGTAGCCAACCATGCTTATCGGTTAGTGTGCTGTGATAAATAAATAAAGACATTCTGGCTAAGACTGCTCTGCCACCTTTATAAGTGATGGTTATGAAACACCTAACAGCTGTGCAATTTATCGATCTTCATGCAGTGGTAGGGGCATCATTAAACAGTGAGAGCAAAACCCTCAGGCCCAAAGAGGCACAATGCCAAGAGCAGTATAAAATGTAATACAGATCTCCCCTTAATCATACTTCTATTCTTGCCGTGCGTGTGGCAATATGCTCAGGAGCTAAATGCCAATGACGGTAGTCTGCTAGCCACGAGAGGGCTTCAGGTGAGATTTCGTGCAGTTTTTATATTCCTCCGTTGAAGGAGGGCAGACGACAGTGGTCCATAGTTTGAGTTGCGTGACCACGATCGCACTACTGTGGCTCGTCTTCATTTGCCATTCATGAAGGAGATGTGCGCATCGGCCCGCTGAAGGTCTGATGCTGTTCATGGGGAGCCATCCATTTAGTACGTACGCATGGAGGGGGGAGGCGGGGGAGTTAACCCAAATGCGTACGCTTGCGTATGGGGGGTCTACTGACAATGTACGCATAGGAAACGGTGGGCGGGGGGGGGTGAAGCCTCGATAATAATTTGTCTACATTCGCGTTTAAATGAGTTAGATAGTCCGGCGGTGGACTATCTGTTTGCTTCAACACGTTAGTATTATTAATCGTTGATCGTTTCTGCGTGGATTAAATATCTGCCGTTCTATAGGATTCTGGGGGGTGGGTGCGTCAAGCGTACCCAAGCAGGTGGGAGGGGGTGGGTGTAAAACGTACGCGTGCGTACAGGGAGGGGGGAGGGGTCAAGTTTTGACAGATTTTTGCGTATGTACTAAATGGATGGCCCCTAGTTATACCAGTGTCTTAGAGGAATGTCAAAGCCAGGAGAGGTGCGATGCTTGGGTCTCATACGAGTTGTATATTCTGGATGTCCACGTTGTTCCTCTGTTCGCCAGCGCTCGTCTGGAACTGGATGAGATTCTCGGATAGTAACAGCATGGGCCCAGAAATGGGATTGTGACTTGAATCGGCAATGAGGTACATTGTTGAAGTCTTGGTTTATGGGTAGGTGGTTTGGCATAAAGGGGACCAGGGGATTTGTATCGGTTTCAGTGTTCCGTTTATCATGCGCGTTACGTTATTTAATTGTGTATGTAGCAGTTTTGTGTACGAGCTCCTGCTGCAGGCTGGGGCATAATACTCTGCCGCTGAGTGGATCAGTGAGAGGGCGGCAGTTCGCAGCACATCAGCCGAGGTGCCACAGGTCATTCCTGCAAGTTTCTGAAGCAGGGGAATTCCTGATTTGGGTTTTTCGCAGATCTGTTTCATGTGGGGCTTGAAGGTCAGGCTTCTATCCATGATAACGCCTCTATATCCTGGAGTGGGGGTCACAGCATACTAGGCTACCACAGAAGGACACATCAATTGTGGCATCTGCTGCATGACTGTTGAGATGGGGAGCCCTTGTGATCGTTTTGGAAGGATTTGTTCAGTCTCCAATGACAATAATATGCCTCCAATAAAGTTAGATCAGATTTTAGAGAATTGGCAATGTCCTCAAGGTATGTGCCACGTGCAGCAAGGGTGATGTAATCTGCACATATGAACTTGCGAAATGATGTAAATGGCAGGTCCCGTGTATGTTAAATAGTGACGGCACTAGTACCAAACCTTGAGGAGGGAGGCCATTGTTTGATCATTTTCTTGTGTCTGTGTTTCCAGCGAGGTATACCCTGAAGGTAGGTTGATTATGTGTATTTGATTACTTTGGTCAACAGCAGTAGTAGGCCACGATGCCAAGCAAAAGAGGTCAATCATTGCTGTGCTAGTTTTCTGTTGAGGCTGGAAATCAGCTTCTGTGAGGATGGTGACGGTAACGGTCTGTTTGCAGCAGCAGCAGCTACGGCCAGTTCGACATCACGGCTTATTGGCGAGGCAGTTGGTGGTCGAGAGTCGGGGAAAGTCTGGAAAGTTTGGCACGTTCCATTAGCTTGGAGGTGGAGGACACTCCGAGTGATATTGACCTGTAGCTGGAGAGCAAGGCTTGCGGCTTTCCAGGTTTCAGAATGGGGATGACTTGGCTTGCTTCCATTATTAAATGGCGCTTAATGCGGGTTCATGAAAATAATTTGGGGCTGTCTTGAGTTTTAGTATGCTATAATGCAAGAGCAAAATTCAGTGGACATGGAAAATGTTCATAGAGCAAAACCAGGTTTTCTGTTCCATAATAATGCATGCTTATGACCAAATTGCTTTATTTGTATGCAATCCACAGCAAATCTTGACTTAAAGCTTTAGTGACTGCAGCAATTCATATTCTTGGGTCTTTCGGTAAAGTCACGTAGATAGGTTATTTTTTGTTATATTCCTTGAACCTATCTACGTGACTTTATCAAAAGACCCAATAATATAACAATCTACAGCAGTCTATCTTTTGCAGGTTGCCGTTGTTTTAAATAGCACGGTAAATTGTTCTGCGAATTAATTTATATAATCAAGTTGGTATGTGTGTCAGTGCTAGTCATGGCTTGATAAGCAATGGGTGAAAAAGACATCTCAAACCTTACGAATTGGCTGTGTTGGGTAGTGGCGGGTTTAACGACACATTTATATTTACACGATCTAACCTAAAAACCTGTATTATGGATGATATTGGTCACGAAAGCCTACGTTGTAAACTGCTTAAGACCGCCAGCAGTTTTAAAATTGTATTGGCTAACGTCATTAATCGAATATTTGACCAAATTTCCTTCATTATCCCCAAAATAGATACTGCAGATTCGAATTCAAATATGAAAATTACTTGAATATGTAAAACAGCTGTTAGCAGTTACATAGTAAATAACTCTTAATAATATGATATTCAATATAATAGTATTACATGACAGTTGTAGTGAGAACAATCTGCAAAAAATGTGAATTGTCCAGTATGTTTGTAGAGAACAAAAAGACAGACTGGTGCAATTGGAATTCGTGTTTTTCTTAGGTGCATGCGTTTTATGAGTTTTGTCGGATCTTCAAACCTCTCCCCAGGTCACTTTGGCTCCAAAAGAAAACTAATTTAAGAAACTATTTCACTGAAATGGTTTTATACAGGGTGCCTCAAAAAATGTTAACACTCATATGGGACTATCGTTTTTAATGGAAAAAGAACGGTAACATGATAACAAATATATGTTAATAGCTTCAAAAAGTCAAAGAGTCTCCACTTGTTCGCCATCATTGTCAACACGTGCCTGGAATCTTCTCCAGGTGGTCTCCAGAGCCCGGGGGCACATTTCTCGTAGTATTTTTGAAAATTCTCAGAAGTGTTAAAACATTTTTGAAGCACCCTTCATTTGTCTATTGATATATTTATATTTGCCTATTTATATTTTACCTTCACAACATATTAATGCCTTCCCATGCACGCGTACATGTTTTATTATCCCATACTGAAAGCAAGTGTCCTCTTGGATTATGCTGGAAACGTATTTCAACATCAGCCCCAAGTTGTTCGTGGTGTGGAGTCGGGAAACCCGAAAATTATTTGAGGAGTGTGATTAAATGCATTGGATGTTGAACTTCTTTCACACCGTACATAGTCAACCGCGCTATATACACACATTACATTTTTACTTTAAAAAATATTGGTAGTTTGAGCTCAGACCACCAAGCCAGCACCCCTGATGAGATTTCTGTTGAGAATCTAGATTCCAACCAGCTTGTAACTGAACCGGTTTCTCAGGGTTTGTTTACTTGAGTTCTCATTTCACATTGCACCATGGACACAACATTTTAATTAAATTACGGTAAGCACTTGTCAATATTAGGTTAACACACTCGGCTTCCTTACAGCCAAGCTTAAAACATGATCTTGACTAAATGTGTTCTCTAATGTGAATCTTAAATAAGCATGTGAAATTGTGAACAATGCCAAGCTTCCAAAAGGAATGCCGCTTGAGGGGTGTATTTTATTTACCACGAGTAACAACAATCACCACATTCACGCTCTACATTTGCAAACTGGCTGCTTGTAATGAGATAAATGTGAGTGCACATTGAAATAGTTTAAAACCACTATTTATGAATAACTAAATAATCATTTTATTTCATAAGAATCTAAAATAATCCTCAAACTTCCAAAAACATTATTTTATTGTTGAGTTATTGAAGCGTCTACCCAGTGTGCAATTTGCACTTGTCGAAACACAATGGCAGTAATAAGTGAAATGGTTTGCAGGATAACAAAAAAATATAAAATCATCACAATGCTTCAATAATGCACAGAAAATAATAAATATTTCTTACCACAAAATAATTGTATTTTGATTTCTCCAACTGTTGTTGTTACCCATGACCTAGTTAGAACTTTTTTTATTTTATTTTATTCAGGTCTCTGAGTATTTCAAGGCACAAGAGTCTGCTAAAGGAAGCAGGGTAAGTTTTCATTTGACTTTTCAGATGTATTATTGTTTAGTTCAGATATTTTGATAGTTCTTTGAACTGTAACTAAACATGTCGTGTATGTGGTTCTCAGTCACAAAGCTCCAAATTTACAACATTTTTGTGAAAATGTTTGTTTTTATGGATGTTGAACTTTTTTCGCACTGCACATAGCCAACCGTGTTAATCGAGAGGAGTGGCATTACTACCATTATAAAATAATATATTGCTGTAAATGTGCTTGGTCACATGTGGTAACATTTATTTCAATATTTCACTTTTATCTTTAAAAAAATATATTTATATTTAATTTCTGATCAACTGGCCTGTATGATGTCGTTTTCATATCTATTAGAATTAGTTCTACTGTATATGGGCTGCTGCCACGGCTTAATGCTTCGCACACTGGACTTCCAATCGAGAGGTTCTCCAGTTTGATCTCCTGACACGGCAGTCAAATCAATGTCCACTTTTCTTACATCCGCCTCTGTCCACCCTTCTGTATAAATGGCCATAGCACAGTTAGTCGATCAGTAGTAGGTCGTATGTGGTGGTGGTGGTGGGAAGTGTTTTGTATACTGCCACCTTTTCAAGGAAGCTGCCTGTAGTTAGTAGAGGGCCCTTCCGACGTCGGTGGCATGAGCAAGAAATGAGGCTCTTTTGATCATTGCATGTGTTTTTGTTTTCTTTCAGCTGAACATTTGGCGCTATGGCGATTTCACTGCAGACGACGCCGTGGAGTTTGGCTATAAACGCTAGACAGAGCCAAGCAGACTCATGGGGGAAATGAGAAAAAAAAAACTCACCTGAAAAAAAAAGTCGCATGTAGCCATTTCTCATACTATCTTATCAACTTGCAAATACTGTAAGCTGCCTACAGTTTATTGCTTAGTGCCATTTCAAGCCTCCATTTACTAGTGATAGTTCTGCTTCTACTTTCTTGTGATGTCAGTTGGAGAGGGGGGGGTAGACTGCTCAGGCTGTGGGGAATTTCTTCGTATGCCAAATGCTTTTAAGGTAGGATGTGGTACATTTCAGCTGTGACAAAGAAATCAACAGGGCTCTTTTTGGCACGGGAGAGTGACATGAATAGTATTTTAATAGTTTTGTAATTGATGACCGATTGCAACTTCCTTATTCTGTTCCAAAATGTTATGTGCCCGTGTCATTAATGTAATGAACATACTTCTCGCAGTTGTTTCTGCCTTTTAATCAAAACCCACAATCATCTTCGACCATACATGAATCTGTGAAAGCTGTTTGGAACGTTGCATTGTTTTAATTATATGACTGAAAGGTATATACAGTCTATGTAATTATAATTAGTTTGATGAAGTGAAAGATCATCGTCGATAATGCTCACCATTTCAGTCAGTATTGGTACAACCCTTGGTTTGGCTACCTTGAACTGCTGTATACTGGCAGCTTACTGTTTGACCAATAGAAGCTACATGTCTTTACTGGATGAATTAAAACAAATATCAGTGAATGCATTTTCTCATTGTCAGTTTTTTTTCTCACGATTCCACACACATCACGACTATACACGTATTTGAATGTGATGATAAACAAATGTGTGAAACGTCACATCTGCGATGGATTACAAATGTCTTCAAATTGTAATTCATCCCTGGGCCAATTATTACATCAATTGTGAGTCAACAGAATTGCAAGTGTTTCCTGAACAAACTCGTGCTTGTAATTTTTTACATTTTCGAAATTATATTCTCAGATAATTTGTATGGCATTATAGAATTTCTGTTCGCCTATTTGTACATTTTAAAACAAAATTCCCCATTGGGAATACTTTACATGCCTGAACTATTCCTATTTGCTAATGAAGTCAGAGTGATGGCATGTGGCAGGTTTCTTTCATAAACATCTGGAGAATGTGACGATAATAATTAACAAGTTGCCCTGGTTTGGGATGCTGCACACGGTGCTATTTTAAATTCTTTAAGTTGTGAAGAAACTGGATGAGCCACTTAATGAATCATGACTGGTTTGTATTTCCTTTTTAATAGGCAACACCCTCCCACACCATACCACCCGTGCTTTTGATCGTAATGGATGGTTTGTTGCCAGTTGCTTGTGGTGAGATGCTTGCAAGCCTGGATTGGGTGCAGTAATTAAATGTCACTCTTGTCTACGTTAATTACCGCCTTCCCTCTACTTTCACCAAAAAATTGTATCGGATTAATTTTGCCTCTGCTACAGCATGGATTACTTGCTGTGATCTTCAGCTAATTACATATACAATGTATGTATGTATGTTGAATATCTTTTGCACCGTACGTAGCCAACCGGTAACACATTCCTGCGGAGGGAGCTGGTAGGAACGTTGGGTTGCTCGGTCAATGGCCAGGGTCAACGGCGGCGTGGTGTATTCCGCAAATATGCCCGACTGTGAGGGCGGGCACAAGCCGGCGTGAGTAGGTTAAACGTTTTATAAGGGCACCACGGGGTGACCAGCCCCTCCCCACCCAGCCCCTCCCCTCCCAGCCCCTCCCTCCACGACGGACGGACGGACACAATAATCCCGTGTGGGCTGGTGGAACCAGGAGGTTCCTACCAGTATACTCAGATATGTGGGGGAAAGACAACAAACTATACACAACAAACAGTTCTGTAAACAAGGCCTGTGGAGTTAAATCTGGTGTTCTAAAAACAATAACTGCTTGGATTAGTTACAAAATTATTTTCTTGTGGGTATAGTTTAAACGCTACCATTAAAAAACCTGCCAATTGAAATCACAGTCATTTTTTTACTTTAATTTTACAATAGCAAGCCTATTAAAATGCATTTATTTTATTAAACAGCATGGTGTAGAACATGTATCTACTGGTGTATTTAAAAATTTCGGATTATTTAAACCATCAGAAAACCACACGTGAAATATTTTGGATTTATCCTAGTATGATGTCACAGGTAATGATGTAATCTTATCATTATGTCCATGCTATTCCACAAAGTGGTGTCACGTGGTGTCCGTTTACATCACCTTCGTTAGAACAAAGGCACTCTGACAGTGTCAATGATGCGAATGTCCAAAAACAAGATCCGGAATTGTATCTTAGAAAATTTGAAATACGAACCTCATCACTCGCATTCACACGTGCATACATGAAAAGTAACACTTTACATTTAGTGCTCGTTTGCTCAAGAGTCGTGCTCTCAATGCAGCCATCCGATATGCAATGAAAACATCCCAGCTTCGACCAGCCTTGGGTGAAATGCTTTTGAGTTTGTAAATCACGATTATATTTTTTGGATTCTGTCTGGTTTGCAGAGTTGTGCTATGCCACACTGTTCAAGCAAAGTATTAAAGCAGTTTATAAGGTCGATTGTATATATACTCAATGTACAGATATATTGATGGTAATGGGCAAAAACGCATTTCCAAAACCATTTACAGTAATATTACCTCAAGTTTGCTATCTCTTCTTGCGAGCCGTTGGAAAGCCATTTAGAACTATCGTAAGGAAGAGTTGTTTTCAGTCTAAAAATGTACTGCACGTTGAAGGATTTTTTTTTTGTTATTGCCAACGTTTGTATTATGCACCTCGCGGGTGCGAGATTATTCTGAGTAAGCAGCGCATCTCGACATGATTTGGGGTTGTGCAGTGTGTTGTTTGGCACGATGCCGAACGTTTCACTCCACGTGGTGGGGGGGGGCCCTCTTCAGGCATTTAATTCTTCAGGACCTGAAAGTCGCACGCACGCACACGCATCTTAGAGATGCACATAATCGCAGTGTATTCATGTAGAACTTCTTTCTCGCCGTACGTATGCAACCGCGCTAATCGGAGGTGCGGGAAATGTTTCAATTTGAAATGTACCTCCAATTCCTTTCCCCGTGCGACAACCATGACTTATGGTTTGTCGCGAACAGTCGTGCACAATTGCAACCACACTTAATTATCATCTTGCATTTAGGTAGGTTTTAATAAACAACAAATGAAATGGAGCTGGTATTTGAGATATTCATGTAGTTGCATACATTTGTGAAGGGAAAAAAAAACTTTTTTTAACTTGAGTCGCAGAATTTTGCTGTGGATGCAAAATAACGGATGGGCGTGAAGAGTAAAGGTGATGTATAATTGAGCACTAACCGTCATCAATACTTAAAATTGTCGGCTGGTACGTTTTAATACTCGGCGTTTAAATGCAGTCAAATTCTTAAAGGCGAAATATTTCGTGCTCTTGAATTAAGGGCAATTAAGTTGAACATCTTAGTTTTTTATGAACTTGAATTGTCCCTTTGTTTTGGAATGTCTAAAAGATGCAACGCCTTTTGGCGTCCTCTGGTCTAACACCGTTTGAGACGAGGCTCAAAAGAAAGCTGTCTCTGGTGTGGACCAATCAGTTTCAAAGATAATGCATATATTATCAGAGTGGTTTTGTTTGCATTCTGACCACAAGCATTGTGGTTAATGCAGACATGATTCCTTGTAAAAGGTTTCAGTTTGGTGTTTTAACATCTTAACACCTGTTTGTTGCCAGAGAAAGTAGAAAAACTTATTATCTGGTGCAACGAGTTTTAAATTGTTGCCAAAGTGACACTGAGGCTAACAAAGCTCAAGATAGGAATATTTTTTTTTCTAAATGACAGCCTGGCTTGCTGACTTTATTAAAAGTTTTGACAGTTGCGATGTTTTCTCTACCCTGTCAAAACTCTTGCTGGGTATATACCTACAACATATTCTGCCAGAGTTGGAACAGACTTTACCTGAGCGTCAGTATAATACTCTTTGGTTCTTTCGGAAAAGTCACGTAGGTGGAAATAAAATAATATAAAACAAATCACGACGTTTCGATCGCAACACAAGCAATCTTCATCAGGTGGAACAACCACAGCAAGAAAAATGGTTATTCACCTGTCGCTTTGAACATCTTCATTACTGAGAACAGCAGGAATTTGCAAAACACATTCCTGCGGCGGAAGCTGGTAGGAACGTTTGGTTGCTCGGTCAATGGCCTGCAGGGTCAACGGCGGCGTGGTGTATTCCGCAAATATGCCAGACTGAGGGCGGGCACAAGCCGGCGTGAGTAGGTTAAACGTTGAGTTTTATAAGGGCACCACGGGGTGACCAGCCCCTCCCCACCCCTCCCACCCCCCACCCAGCCCCACCCTCCCCACCCAGCCCCTCCCCACCCCACCCAGCCCCCCTCTCCTACCCCCCCACCCAGCCCCACCCTCCCCACCCAGCCCCTCCCCACCCCACCCAGCCCCCCTCTCCTACCCCCCCACCCAGCCCCACCCTCCCCACCCAGCCCCTCCCCACCCAGCCCCACCCTCCCCACCCAGCCCCTCCCTGCACGACGGACGGACACAATAATCCCCTGTGGGCTGGTGTAACCAGGAGGTTCCTACCAGTATATATGTAGATGGTGTAAAGGTGAGCACACACTGGACTTGGAATACAGAGAGCACTGGTTTGATTCCAACTCCGGGCGTGGAAGTTGAAACTCCTACGACCAGCGCATTGTGAGGAATGTCTTCATCGGTATAGGATCGACAAAGGGATGTAAATTGTTGTTATATCATTAAACACTAAATGGGAATGTATTGAAGTCGATAAATCGTAAATCATTTACTTCAGGAGGTATTGTTTAAAAAAAATGTTACGAAAAGGTAATACACTGTATTTCCAAAAATATGTTTGACAAATATTCATGGATTGCTGGGTTTATAAACATTGCCAAGGAGTGCAAATATGATTTTTGCCAGCCGAACACACACGAGTGTTGAGAATACGGATGGATAATAAACTATGCTCATTAGGCATCTACTTATGTTCAACACTTGATCCTGGCCGATAGCATTGCTGCAATTTGTGGCAGCTGCCCAATTATACCGTGGACCTCCAATCGTGAAATACGAGCACGAAACTTTCATTTTCTTTCAGCGTAATTTATTTCACTTCGATGAAGGCTTGCGCTTTTAAACTCCTTCAAGGAAAGCACGTGCTCTGGATGTTAAATATTTTCATAGGCTGTATACATCTTGTATTCTGCTCAATGTGATGTTTATTGTTGAAAGAAAATGCGAAACATTATGCCGTTGTATAGGGGTGTGGGAAAAATAGCCTCACGAATTAATGAAATACGATCAACAAAATTGGTGTTGGATATTGGAGGAGCATCAGTGCCGCAACAATTTGGAATACTTTACTCTTTGCTTCTTTCGGTAAAGTCACATAGGTATAAAATAAATTAAATCACGACGTTTCGGGCGCAACACAAGCGTCCATCATCCTGTTTTTTTTGCCCACTTCAGCAATTGTTTCTTACTGTGGTTGTCCCACCTGATGACGGACGCTTGTGTTGCGCCCGAAACGTCGTGATTTATTTTATTTTCTACCTACGTGACTTTACAGAAAGAACCAAAGAGTATGGATCCCTGCAGTCACGAAAACTTCAAATCTAGATGGAATACTTTGTTTCATAAGAGTACTCAATGAACTCCTCAACTGTGACGACCGAGG